AGAGAGAGAGAGAGAGAGAGAGAGAGAGAGAGAGGTTTCAGGAAGATTTCCACTTAACTCCATACTCCTCTCTTCTGACTCGACTTGGTGGTTATTCCAAGTACATGTACATAAAATAGTTTAGAAAAGTTTTCACATCTCCTTCAGTACTTGAAGATTTTTACAAGATTCTTGACCTTAAAATTTATGTTCATTTACGACAAGGCCGAATCAAGTAATAGGATATAAAGACTCCCTAGCCCAGACCGATCTCCAATATTCAGTTCAAGGTCATGAACGCCCGGGTAGGGGGTTCGAATCTTGATAATCCACATCACAACACCCAATATGCTACCAGCTGAGACACCACTAGGCACTGCGTGATTGTCGTGAAGTTTCTGTAATGCACAGTGCGAACTACAAGCAATGACAAGGTGTGTGTCTGTAACATTAACGGAAAAATGTGTTGACAATATTGATGTGGCCATTTATGATGGGCCTTTCATTTCTAAGTAAACCTACAGATATAGCGATTTGTGTGTGTGGGGGGCTTTTATGTAAAACTTGATAAAAACTCGAAGAAATAAATATTTCCTAATCGTATTAAACGTATAAACACTGCCACTCACGCACTCACACGCACACACACGCATTCACATGCTCACATCCGCACGCACATCCGCACGCACATCCGAGGTGGCATGCTTTTTGTCACGTTCATCTCGCCACGACGTCTCATTACCACTTTCTGTTCTCACTCTGTCCCCAGCGCCCTCGCCCACGCTCATGTCCACCCCACTGTGTTCCCTCAGCCCGCGAGAGATCAAATCCGTGGCGTTTGCCGACTTGAAGCCGAGCCCCAGCCCCACTCTGCCCACTGAGCTCAGTAGGGGGCGGCAGCCGTTCAAAGCTAATCACGAGCTCTTCAAGCGACCGCCTAGCGGGTCCTTGGGCGTGGTGGCGACCTCGCCTCTCTCACCGCCATCTTCTTCCGGTTTGTCACCTTCTTCTCCTTCCGGTTTGTCGCCATCTTCTCCCGGCTTGTCGCCATGTATTTCCGGTGTTTCGGCGACTCTGGTGAGGACATCCCCTGAAGTGTCGGTGGTCGAGGACAAACCTCCCGCCCTTCCCCCTCGGCCGAGACAGTTCCAGAGAGCACCCCTGAAATACCAGCGACGAAACTCTGTGGATGGTAGAAGTGAGCAACGCTGTACTTCCTCGGGTATCCACCACGCCGTGTGTCACACTAGAAGTGTCTCAGCCACGAGGGACGTAGACAGGAGAAGGCCAGTAAACGGCGAGTTCAAACCTCCGGATTCGAACTTTTCTTCCCCTCAGAACACTCGACAGCACACACAAGTAAATGTCGGTGATGTGAGAAATGAGGCGAGAAATATTCTACCAGGAAATCTTTCGCACACTTCAACTATCTCTACACCGGTGAACGTGACGACCCCCCACGCCACGCCCCCCTCTGCCCCTCCCCACGCGAGAGAAGATTACCTCCCCACAAACGGGCCCAATCAAGCTGAGCGCTCGCGAGGGCCAATTCTGAGGGATAAGAACCTTAACATATCTCATCAGCAACACCATCAGCCGCAGCAACAGCAACAGCAACAACAACAACCACATCTACCTCACGCCGCTCCCCCGAGGTATGAAGAGGCGATCAAAAGGATTAGTCTGTACAGAGCCGAGCCACTTCACACGTCGCCCGCTCCACAATCGGACGGTGAAAGGGGAAGCAGACGACAACAAGGGTCTCCGAAATCACCGGAAACCCCAGGTCAAGTCGTTCTACAAAATGGCCCCTTTTCCCCTCTGCAGAATAGCGACACATCCCCGTTACAATCACACGCACCATCACCATTTCAAAAAGGCCAAATTTCAAAGCAAAACTCCCCATCTTCATTACAATCACACGCACCGTCATCATTTCAAAATGCTCCAATAATTTCAAAACAGAATCCCCCATCTTCATTACAATTACACTTACCATCTCCATTTCAAAACTCCCAGTCTTCAAAACAAAATTCTGCATCTTCATTACAATCACACTTACCTTCACCATTTCAAAATACTACATCTTCCAAGCAAAACTCCCCATCTTCATTAGAATCACACTCACCATCACCATTTCAAAACACCTCGTCTTCCACCTCCAAACAAAATTCCCCGATCCCTCTACAAAATGGCTTTGTCGGTTTGTCCGTCCACCGCATCGAGCGGCAAGGAATCAGTTACAGCAGCGGCAGCAGCGACTGCGCAGGCACCCCCTGGTTCAGCGATGTGACGGATTCCGGGAAAGAATATTCTAGAGATGCCACAACCAGTAACAACAGTGTCCCTAGCCTCACGTCACTATCCTCGCCCATCTCAGCCTCCACGCCCAAAATAGCCGTTGTGCACGCGTCATCGAGAAGTGACGTCAACCCTCGGGATCTGCCCCCTCCCCCGGCTGACATGCTCTTGGGGTTACCCGGAAGTGACGTCATCAAGTCGGCTGCCGGAAGTGGCGTGGGATATCACGTGGCGTTACGTGGACGTGAAGACAGCGCCGAGTCGGACGACGTATTCTTTCACGACGACTCGCGAGAAAATTTCGCAGACGTTTCATCTAGCTCGCCTCAGAGAATTGACGAGAGGCCACCTCGTTTCCGTCCGCCAAGCAGAGGTAGTAGCGGTCATAGGTCAAAGTCCAGAGAGAGTTCAAAGGTCGTGCAGGGTGGTGTGGCCTCCGTCAACTCGAGCAGCACCATCATCAGTGGCAGCAGTAGGAACAGCAGCAGCTATGGTCGTGCCAGCAGCCGAGACGGCGCTGGACATTCGAGCACTGACCTCGGCGAGACTCAGGACGGTGGCTGTGGCGGGAAGCGAGTCATTGTAGAAGTGTTGGTGTGAGTTGTTTGTGATGTGTGTGGAAGTGTTGGTGTGACTTGTTTGCGCTGTTTATGCCAGCCAAGAATACAGTATACATGTATCTATATCTTGGTTGTTGTTACTGTCTGTGTGTGTATGAGTGATCAATTGTTGGTTTTCTTGTTGTTGTTGTTGTTGTTGTCTTATTCGTAGCTAATGCTGTTGTTGATGTTGTAATTGTTATTGTTTGTGTTTTTGTCGTTGTCGTTGTTACTGTTGTTGTTATGGTTATTATCTTCGTCACTGTTTATTGTTGTTGCTGTTGTCGTTGTTGTTGTTTCTGTTGTTCTTGCTGCTGTCGTTGTTCGTGTTGTTGTTGTTGTTTGTGTTGTTGTCGCCGTCGTCGTTGGTACTATGAGCTATGGTGCCTATCATTCTTTTTCGGTACCCAAGTTGGACCTCCTTGAACTTGGGTCATTTTGATTACCAAGGCTCTCCACTCAGTTTGTTGGTCCTATCGGAGGCAGGCGCGTTCCTCCTCTTAAAGGATGATAATGCAATAATGAAAATGGCTTAAAACCTATACGTTCTTATACTATCTTCTCTGATCGTCTAGCTTAAAATCCATGGTGAAAATTACGAAACAGCCCACTGTAGGAAGATGAATTTGGTACTTTGAGAAGAGAAGAAGGGAGGGGG